AAAAAAAAAAACCAAGACTGTTCCCAACATAAAAGGCAACCCCCTGCCTGGATTATAAGGGAGCTAGATTGCTCTCTTACATAATCTGTGGGTTCACATGCAAATGCTATTCATTTTTCTTAAACTCTATGAATGAAAGATTAGAAAAAAATTTTTTTCCAGCTGGAAACATTTGAGCCCCACCTCATTGTTGTTCCCGGCATCTTTGTCCCTGGAGTGTTAAAGAGAGGGTTTTTATGGGAGTGTAAACACACATCGTTTTTTTTTTCCCCCTGGCTGGTAAATAGGCTGTCTTTTGTACAATTACAGAGTAACAATACCCAGTGTACCTGTCTGTTACAGAATTTGGCATTCTGTGACCCAAAGGGAAAGCCGCCTGCAGAGTTAGACAAAGATGACTCTATTGTGACAGGCTTTCTCTGTGAAATTAAAGGTGATAGGATAGGAAGTGGCTTTGAATAACGGTGGAGAAAAGCAAGAATATGACTGCCTATGTGGGCTTTCTGTTGTTGCGGAGTTCCTAGCAGCTTGTGAGACTAGACTGTCAAAGCACAAGTTAAACTTGAAGTGGCCCGTGGTGAATTTTTGAATGATAACTGGGGATTGAAACATAGTTGCACAATGCAGGTGCTAATAAATAGCTCACTGGGGTTCTGCTAAAACGTATATCAAGTATTTACATTGCTTCTCAGACTTTTTGACAAATAGAAAATAGTAACACAGATGATCACCTTTAATTAGAAGGTGATTCATCCAGATTTCTTAGAATTTGGCATGCTAGAGCCAGAAAGAACATTGGAAATCGGCTACTGATTGGCTCATTTAAAGGTGAATAACCTAAGACAGGATAATGAAGTCTTACCCGGGGTGAAGAGTGGAATCCAGAGATGTCTCTCAGTAGATTCTAGAACAAGGATGGCCACAGGGTGTTATGGCTTCGTGTTCTGGATCCGGTACAGAAAAGAACCAACAGGGAAGAATGTTGGATGATCACAACAGGGTACCTATTTGAATGTTAATTCCGTGAAGGCCGGGCCTTCTTTATCTCTCGATACTTAGTACCAAGCCAAATGACTGTCATTCAGTTAAAACTCAGAATAAAACAACAAACTGATGTGCATCTAGAAAAATGGATGTGGTAGCCATTTTCAGACATTTAACGGACTGTCGTAGGACAGACGAACAGGCAGGTAAGGGTTAATCTGCAGTGTTTCAAGCACTACAATTTATTTGAATGCTCAAAGCTGGAAAAAGAATAGCTTTTGATTCAGTACAAACAGGGTTTCTGCTTTTGGTTTTAATAATGGAGCTGCCCCAAAATCAAATCCATAAGAAGAATCCAAATAAAGTTTAACAGAAATTTTGTACAATAATGTTAAAGTCAGGTAATTTTTTTGGCCCAGGTAACATTAAACTCCTTTCAAGATGAAAACGTGATGAGTCTCTGATAAGCGCCCAAATATTTGGTTTGTTAGTACAGAGCTAAGGCGAGATTTCCGTATCCCGACTCCCGGTCTGGTGTGATGTCACAAAACCACACTATTTGGGGGAAATTGTCAAATTTGTTAAGATAGGAAAAGAAATAAGTCAAACACTTATAAAAGTACAGCGGTGAAGATAATTAACGATTAAGGTGTTGGGACAATCAAACTCTAGCTTTTAGTAATCACCCATCATTTAAAACTTCACATTAGTGTTTAATGTGTTGTCACGTGACTCAAAAATGTTTTAAAGAAAATTAGCATTAAATAAACAGGAAAACTTGACAATTATAGTAAGTCAATATTTTATAGTGAAGTTGCTTTAAAGTTAATTATATGATGAACTTAATTGTAGGCAGAATCTTAGATACGACAACCGAGGGTTTCCAGCCCCGTCGGTGGAACTGTGAATATAAAATATCACATACCTGATTATGTTAAACTACCTGGCAAAGGGGATTGTGCTGAAGCAATTAAGGCTACCACTCAGTTGGCTTGGGTTAATTAAAAGAGAGTTTATCCAAGTGAGCCTAATCTAATCACATGAGCCCTTTAAAAGCTG